TATATATATATATATATATATATATATATATATATGAGTGAGATTCTCTTCATTTGTAGTTGTGCTTGACATTGTGTGCGTGACCAATTTATCAATAATAAAAATATAAAAATAAATAGTAAAAAAATAATTTTAAAGTTTGGTGACAAATGACGATGTCGTTAACACGTTAACATCAATATCAACATAGTTATCTGATCGCCTTCGACAACTATTAGGTTTGTTCTCATTGTGACGTCACCTACCTCCATGAGGAGCATACTGTCAACCTCATTATCGCTTGTCTTGTGTCGCTTTTATATAAAAATATAATTTAAAATAATATTTTTGTAATATTATAATTTATTTAAAAAAAATTATAACAAAGAAATTAGACTGTTCATCTATGAACCCATATACCATTTGATGGATCCACCAAGAAGGACGGATATTTTAGGAGTGTGATGTTTCATCTCTTAAAAATTGATTCCTGAACATGTCTTGTACAAAATTCTCAATATAACAGAGAATTTCCTGTCTCCGATTTCTTTCGTATGGAACACATAATGATCGTTGATGGAGTGAGATAACTGTCTCTCTAAGCAATTGTTGCCGTGTTGAAAGTTGAAACCTCATGTCGGGACCTATTACCAACCCCTTTTTGTACCCTAACGCTGAAAAAGAAACGTTTAATTATTGAGGCGTTCCCACCAGAAAGTACACAAAACTTGCACATCTTAAACTAACACTGTAGCAATTAAAGCAAAAAAAAGCTGTGCTTTGTAAGCAACCCTTGTGAAGCCTCATTTTAACAACCCCGGGGGGGGGATTGCTTCGTCATGTCACTCACTCCTCACGTCGATGCCGTCATACGACCTTCTCGTCCATAGTGGCGAAAGGGAAGGTGAGGAGGAGGAGGACAATGACACCAACCCACACTGTGCTGTAGGAGAAGGACGCGTCCTGGGTGATGCCCACCCCCGTTTCGGATTCCTTTCCCCTGTCCCGCCGGATCACCTAGCGTTATCCTCCTCTAGTGATGCTGCCCTCCTCGTCGCGAGGCGCTGACTTGGCTTTATAGTCGCGGAACCTCGTAACCAAAGAGGTGGCCGTGGCGCACGGAGCCACGCGGGAAGCCGACGACCCGGCAGGAGCGGGATGCCGTGTTGTGGGGTGCGCACCCGAAGGCCCCGCGCCCGCCACGCGTCGCTTCATGGTTGGCTCCTTGAGCCCCGTACTCAGGACGCCCTAGCCCGGCGGCACGGGCGGCATGTGAGGGTGCCCCCACGGCGGAAGACAAGCCCGTCTCCCCCTTCGTTGCCGCACACAATTTCCTACGCGGTGGGCGTTGGATCTGCCGTCCAACGACGATGGGCGGAACGTGCGGCGTTGGATCGCCGGAGTCATAGAGAAGGGTACGAGCCGGGTTTGTTGCGTGAAAGTGCCCGTTACCACGAGCATCCCTTTCGGCTTTCGCCTCCGCGCGCCTGTGTGGAATAAAAGCCGAGAGATCGAGCAGGCAGAGAGAAAGAGAGAGAGAGAGAGAGAGAGACGGGGACCTTTTTCTCTTTACATGGTTCTTTCTTTACTCTCCCTATCGCGCACCAGTGTGTCGCTTCGAGGACAAGAAGGAGACCCTCGAGATCGCCTCCCCTTCTCTACCCAAATCTTCTCAGGTTTCGGTGCCCCTCGATCGGTCCCCCCTCGGTTTTCGGCCAATGCGGCTCCGATTGGAGCTCCCGCGCCTCCCTTATCGGTTTTCCTCGGGCTGACGGTCTCTTAGCTAAGGGGTTTTGGGCGTTACGTTCGGGGAGGGCGTCGGATCGAGCCCGCCATGGCGTCGCGGCCGGATTCGAGGCAGAGGAGGTCAGCGCAGGTTTCGTCCAAACCCGCCAATTCGCCGACCTCGTCCACGACCTCGTCTTCCAGGCAGGTGCCGGAAGCCTCCGTCGACGGACAGAGCTCGCCGGCGTCCTCGTCGGTGAGGGACAAGCCGCAGTACTTCTGCGGGGATAGTGAGGCGTTCGATATGGAGGGATCGAAAGAGAGTGTGACAGTCACGGTTCGCTTCCGGCCTCTCAGGTTGGGATCTGATCTATTCGCTTTCTCCTCTTTACACATTGCTTGGAGGTGTTTTAATTTGGCTTGATTTGATGTTTGACATGTAGCCCACGTGAGATTCGTCAAGGAGAGGAGATTGCGTGGTACGCCGATGGGGATACGATCGTTCGCAGCGAGCATAATCCGTCACTGGCATATGCTTATGGTACGTGGTATGTATGGCGTTTAATTTGTGGTGCATTTTTGGTGTATGCTACCAACATGTTTTGCTTTTGCTGCCTGCTATATTTTGATAATTGGTATTTGTGCAATTGGTCAATTTGGCAGTTTGCATGAGATACAATGGTCCACTTGTACTGGGTCATGCCCCAAGTACATTTTTTGTGATATTCACCCTTAGATTGTTCAAAGGTCAAAAATTCAGACTGTTCGCTGTTAAGATGCAGGATTCTCTGCCGAAGTTGCAAGCAAAGTATTCTTTCAAAGTATTAAAGAAAAACCATAAATTGAGTATGTATTTAACGTCAAATTTGCTAGTAAACTGATTGGCAATTTGACGTATTTTCAGTTGCCAAGACATAGATTGTATTTGAATTCCTCCACTGGTGGTATGGCTACAAAAATTTCACATGAACTAATCTCTGTGAAATTCATTCTTGTTTCTTGTTCTTGGAGACGTGTTAAGCACAGTTAGCTGTATTTTATGTTAAACCATTTAACCAGCATGTCATTTTGGTTTTAATCTGTGCTATTAGTGCTTTATAAATAATTTTCTTTTTTTTTTCATTATTGATTATCAGTGGATAAATCACTATCATGTGCCTATATACAACAATCAAAGTAGCATGCCGGGTAGCCTAGGTGGATCATTATTGCTAGTCCTTGGATTGTTTGGTATGTATGACACTCTTATGCTCAGCAATCCTGCATCCACGTTTATTAATATGAAAAATACCCTGATGAACTAGCACGGTGGAAATTTTTATGAAGTCAGACAAAAAGAAGATACTTGAATATCTATAATCAGAATTTATATTTCAACCACCTTAAATATTAATTCTGAACTATTGGTGCTCAATTTAAATGAATTATTTTTCAATATGTAGGCCTATTTATTATAAAACACTTCATCTTGGTCTATGATGTTCTTGTTCTTTCCAATACTTCTGAGTCCTATCAAAATTCTGTTTCTTCATCTTTTCTTATGGACTCATAACCTTATCTTCTCTCAGTTGGTGGTACTTCTATCTTACTATATTTTGTCTCATTTTCAACGTTTCATTGCAGAATCCAACATCCGTTTTAACATATGAAACTGTTTTTTGTTACTTATTGGAAATGTTACTTCTGACTGATTGTTTTGCAGACTTAACCAAGTAATTCTTGTTTTCAATCAAATTTTAGTTCTACTTATTTTGACCCTTCTGATTCATCATTTCAATGAACTCATGATGGTTTGCTCTTTTCCTTATTCTGTCCTATGTAATGAAGTGATGCTGTTAGTAACCTCTTCCACGATAGTGCTCACATTGAACACATTGATAAGAATAAGGTTCGTTTCACATAGATCATTAAAAATATATGTAACTGCTTATATTAATTGGAGAATTTATTACTTAACATTTTCTTGTTAGAATAATTGTTATTTTTAATATATATCTTTTTGAAGCATATATATATACAAATGTGCATTTATATATACTCATGTATGCATACACATATACTAGGGCTTTGTGTTATGGCCATAGTTATTAGAACATGATCGGACATCCACTTGGTCAAGTATCATGGTACTGGATCTTTGGCTGAATAGATAAGTCAACTGGTTGGGCTGCAAGTTTAATACAGTTCTTTGAAAATGAATATTATTATATGTTATGTTAAAAATATAAAACATATAGATAAAATTTTTAAAATTTTTTTTAATATAATGAAAGAGGATGGTAGATGCAACCATAAGAGAATAAGCATGTCGAGAGGATGAGAGAATAGCAAATATAATAGGATTTTTTTTTCTTCATCCTTGTAATAAAAATTCTTAGACGCTTCCAGAAAAAAAATTGTAATACTTTTGATAATAAATTAGGAGTTGAGGAAATTTTAGTCCTTTTAAGGCTCAAATGGACTAATTGGTGACTGAAACTGGTTGAGAATCTGATTCTCAATTTTCCTGGTCCAACCAGCCAGTCCGGTCTGGATTTTATGACTTATGGTTATGTCATATCTTCTACTTGCTTAAAACTTTTAGGCAAGATGTAGTCTTACACATTCCAGTCCTTATGATTACTGAAAATGGTGAACGTATTCTAACAAATGGTTTTACACAAAGAAACCATCCATAGGAGGAACACTTCATGGATGAACAATATTAAGAAATACAAAATACTTGGACAAGTATCGGTCTTAGTTTTAAAATATACTTTGCAGGAAAAATAAAAATTACATTCTGGAATGCTCTTGGCATATGGCATGAAAAGCAGCATCAGGTTGGGCTAATTTATGTCACTGAATTGGATGAAGGGAAAAATTGTAAAATGGCGATTGAAATTAATAAAGGCTTTTGAGATTTGTAAAACAAAATCTCTAGGCTTATTTGAAGAAAGGCATCATTGGGAAAAGCTCTTCCTGTTGGTGCTTTGCTGTATCTTATGTGGGAATAGCTGCCCAAAAGGAATGATGTAGCGCAGCAGCAGCAGCAAGGTGGTGGGGAAGAGGAAGAGGCAGAGGTGGAGAGAGAGATAGAAAGAGAAATGAAACAGAGAGAAAACAAGATAGGAGATTGGGTGTCAAAAAAGTAGAAAAATGACAAGGGTAACCAGGTGCTAAGCTCGGTTCAATATGGTTACTGCATTGTAACAACTGTTCTGGCCTGGAGTACATGAAATCGCCAGCCTGCATCCCTGTTTTTGGTGTAATGATTAGTCAATACGGACTGGTCTGACTGGTTTTTTAATCCTTACCACAGTCACATCAAAGGTATGTAATTGGAAGCATCCTCAAAAATCCTTGCTCTCTAACTATATTTTCCTATGACTGAAAGGAGCAATAAATAATAATTAAAACCAAAATGGGAAGACAATCTTTGATTCATTTTTACAAGAATACTAGGGTATCCAAGAAATCACAAAACTTATCTAAATATTGAGCCTTAAGGAAATTGAAAGAACTTAACACATTGATGGCTGACTATATGTGTTTAATAGATGTAGGAAGTAATAGAATTCTAATGTTTTCGATAGATTACAGTTGTGTCTGATATTTAATCTTAATGTTCTATATCAAAAATTTCAAAAGTCAGAATGGATTGACAAAATGAAAAGTTCATTAATATAAATTCTTCTTGTTTTGCCTGATTTTGACACAATACACATGTTTATATCAGTACCATCCAAGGCCAGTGGTATTTTGGTTGATTTCTTGACCTTATAATTGGAAATCAGTTAAGAGTCAGTCCAAGATAGTTTGTTTTAGCTGATCTAATAAGAAGAAGAATGAGAGGAATGCAAAAGAGAGGAAGAGAAGACGAGGGAAGCTTGAGTTGGAGGAAAGGTAAATGGAAACCTTTGATTATGAATATAAAATGTAGGAGATGCTACTAATAGTAAGATGCTACAAGCCTACAACCGTCAAATTCTGTTTGTCACGATTATTGCAACATTTGCAATCCACCGTGAGATAAAGGATATAAGGAGGTATATCATCGCAAAGAAGAGAGATGCCATGAATTTTGGGATAAATCCAAAATGCTTTGGCCATTGGGTATTCTCTTTATAAGTTATTTTTATTTTTTGCAATGTTCAAAGCATGGTATGCAATTTCGAATGGTACCGCCCAGTACAGGCGGTATGTACCGGTCCGACCGTATACTGGTACGTGGATCGCCCACTATCGGACGATCGTGCTACAGTGCTACAGTAATATACTGTAGCAGCGCTATAGTACTACAGTGTTACACTGTAGCAGTGCTACAGTAAGAAGAAATCACTCGGTAAGCCCTGGTGTACCGTTCGGTACGCCCTGGTGTACCGCTCGGTACGCTGGTATCATATCGTACCGAGCCAACTTCGAAACACTGGGACAGTACGGTATTGCATACCTTGATCCAAAACTCCACATCAGTGCTACAATAAGACCCATTTAAAAGGGATAGCTTATTACATGAGGCTTCCACTAATGCAAGTTTTAGGGAGGGTCAATATATTCAACCTTAATCCTATAATTAAGTTGACAACTTTTATGACTCTTAACTATGATCATCAAGGTTACAAACGAGCAACCTTATTGACAAGGCTTCTTAATATTGTAGGTAGATAACTTGAGTCTTTCTATACCACAAACATGCAATAGTTGAGACATTCACAATGACTTTATTAAATATCATATTTATTTTAAAGATTGCTATCTTTTGCAGAATTTTTCTATTTTACAGTTATCTTTAGTATGGCTTTTAGTGAAAAGTTAGATACCAATTGAAATGGTATCTAAAAGATCTTCAAGCACACATGCATGCACACGTATGCACACACACACACACACACATATAATGTTATTATAATATTTTACTATTTTTATGCTTTCGTAATTCTATGCTGTTTTCTCCTTCAATTGTTATACTGCTATTCCAATTCAATTGCTCCTGCTGCGTAATAGTATTCCATGGATTTGCTTGACCTAGAATATGTCACAGACATGTTATTAGTTAGAAGTTATAAGATTGGTGTATATTTATTTCATGAGGAATACTGGATATTTAAATTTAAAATTTGTGTTTTGTTTTTTCTACAAATGTTTCTGTACAGTTTTTGAGTATTAAGCCCAGATGTGTTTATGTGCTTCCATTTTCCTTAAGTGCATAGGAAAGCTGGCCTTGACTATTTGCTTTAATCTGAATCTCCAGATCGTGTTTTTGGACCTACAACAACAACACGACATGTGTATGATGTTGCTGCTCAGCATGTTGTTAGCAGTGCTATGGAGGGTGTAAATGGTAAATTGCATATTATATTCTTGTTTATATTCTTTTCTTTGGCATTGATCTTGAAGAATGAGGATTTAAGGAAAAACCTGGAGATCTTTGCTGGTCTTGGCCATGTTATTTAGATAAATATATATGCATATCCATTGGGTTTATGATGACAAATTAATCCTCTATGGTGATAAAGCATGGTTTGGAAGAACTTTTGGCTCTTCTAAGTTTTAATCAGGCATGAAACTTGAACCTAATGTCCTCTTCATTTGCCTCTGATGTCATTCATAACTTTTCCTTGCACATTATATTGCTACAACCTAGTGAAATATTGTTTGGGGTAAGTGATGGATTATTGAATTTGAAGAAAAAATTGCTTTTTATGTTAATATTGAAGAGTAAAAATCGTTATGACTTACTTTCCTTCAAAATGATGTTTTTTTTCTTGTCAGATAGTCATATGGCATGCCAAGTGTCAATCATTGATGAACAAGACACATCTAGCCTGTCATGCTATGCCAAAACTTGGTACAATCTACAAAGTACCACCATATATGTCATCCACAAACTATGTTCTCTGCTATCTTGCTTGGGCAATAACATTAACAGCAGATGTCATATTCATTGCAGACAAAATTGCTTTATATAATGAATTGATAATTAAATCTCCTCTCCAATGATCAACAATTTATATACACTAATAGCATGTTTTCTTTTGGTGGATTAAATTTAAGTTTCTTTAGAGTGTTACTAACAGCTCCTATGCAAGTAAATACCAAAAAACAGAAAAACCATTTTAATTAATTTTTTTTTTGTTGAACTCAAAACCGATTGACCTTGACCTACACCATACAGAAATTCAACATAATTTCATTTCAGTTAGTTTCTTCTAGTTTTGGTTAATTTTGTTGAAACATATTTATTCTGCTAGAGTTCAGAAAATTGGGTCTTTTCAACTGAGCTCAATTGAAATTAGTTTGAATTGGTTTATCAAGAAAGAAAACAAAAGATGAAATCCTTCTAGGTTCATAGATCATTTCTGTTAGTATCGGTTGACTATTAAGAACTGAGGTCAGATGACTAAAAAAATTAGGAGACAGCTTACTTGCATAAACCCTGTTATTGTACTTGCAACTGATGTTTGGGGCCACTTACAAAATTCAATTGGAACACTCTAGATCCTCAATTACTTATTTTAGTGACCATTGAATATAGTACAAAGTTGAGTTGTAGAATAACCCAAGCAAGGAAAGGTACCAAGTTTCAAACAGGAAGGGCTCAGTATCAGCGAAATTCCCTATAAAACAAAGAAAAAAGTAAAAGCTATAGATTAGTTCAAAACAATCATAAATTACAAAATACTAGGCCTCTGTGTTGCTTTGTATGTAGAGGCAGTAGAGCATTTTTTATGCCTAAATGCAGATAATATGGTTTGATCTGATGACAATGACCTGGAAGCATGACTGTCTACATATAAGACCTATACCAACTTATAACTGCACTGTTGTCTTGCAGAATGTCAATAAATCTTAATTGAACATTCTCTAATATCTTTCCACAGGCACAATCTTTGCTTACGGGGTTACGAGCAGTGGCAAAACACATACAATGCATGTGAGGGTCACAACTTTTGTACCTAGGCTCTCACATACAATGCAGGGAAACTTGCAGTATTAATGTTATTGATGCTTGGTATTCAATTTCTTCTGCTTTGTTCCATTCCTCTGACCTAGGTTTATTACTTTCTAAATCTGTATGCAACTACATGAAAGCATGGTTTAAATTTCAGCATTGTACAAGAAAAAACCAAGGGAATATCATCTCTAGTATAGCATAACTAGTTAAAATTAAACTAGTTTCCTGACAATTCTGCTTGTATTGCCAAGATTGACTGAAACCAGAATGAAACAAGGATTAAAATACCTGGCCTTACCAACTTCCAGTGGTGTATACCCAGCAAACCAGAGAATTGAATTACCCAGTTTCTTTCATTTCCCTTTTGAACATCTTCTCTAACCCAAGTAAATTTAGGGAGTTTTCTTAATCCTTTTAGTTTCTTGTAGTTTTTGTGCTTAAAAAATATAAGAACAATTGACGTAGATGCCCAATTATACATATATTAATATTTATACTCACATCAAATATGCTTCGAAATGCACAAATTAATAACTAAGTTTTAATTGGTGTTTTTATCATGGAACTCCTTTTTGCCTGTACGTACCGACCAATATTTCCTGGTCTGTGAAGTGTTATGCGGATTGCCCCCATTATGGGTGATTCGGTCTAATTTAGAGCAGTGATTTAAAAATCGCTAGGCGCCAAGGTCCAAAAACGCTCGAGGCACTAGGCGCTCGCCCGAGCGAAGCGAGGCGCTAAAATATAAAAATATATAATATAATTAATATAATTATTTAAATAAAAAAATATACTATTAAATTAAGAAAATCGAGTACAAAATCACAATGTCATATTAATAAAAAATCTCAAAAATCAAAATAATAAAATTTTACATCAAATCTATTGAGTTGCTCTGTACACTTGCTATTTATTCTGAAACCTAACAATAATTTTAAATAAATAAAAATTAATAGTATTAAAATTAAAATAATATATTATTAATCTAACAAATAAAAATACTATTATTAGTATACATTTAGCAGTATATTGTTAATATACTGTTAACAGTATAGTGAGAAGAGTGTGAGAAGACCGAGGCTGTTAAGGCAACGACAACGGTAGCGGGAGCGACGAGCGATAGCGGGAGTGGGAGTGGGAGTGGGAGCGGGAGCTGCGAGCGGCGAGCGACGACAACAGCGATGAGCGACGATTGTGGCAGCGGCAAGTAGCGACAATGGCAGCGGTAGCAGAGAGCAGCGACAACGGAGAAGAAATCTCGACGGCAAAATCGTGAGTGTTAGGGTTGGGGAAGTTGGGGAAATCGTGAGAGGGAGCCTATCGGTGATTTAGTTGGTTCGATTGAACCAACTAAAGTACCGGAGACCGAACCAGATGTAAAACACTGGTTTGGTCGCCTGGTTTAACCCGGGCGCTCGCCCGAAGCGCCCGGCGCCTCGTTGAAGCGAGGCGCTTGGACATGAAGCGAGGCGGGCTTCGCCTCGCCCGAGCGCCTAGGCGAGCGCCCGAGCGCCTATTGAAATCACTGATTTAGAGAAGAACTTTAAAAGGGTTGAAATTAGGGCTCACGATCATGAACCCTCTTCACTGCAGACCCCTCTTGTTTTTACTGTTTGCTGCTACTTACCTCCCCTCATCTCACTGCCATTCACTGCTGGCTATCTCCCTCTTCTCCCTCTTCTTGCTCCCGGTTACCTTCCCTCATCTAGCTGTTGTCCGTCGAACTTGTTGCCCTCTCGCGTCCTTGGGTATTCTTCCGCCTCATTCTATTCCTCCACTGCCTACTCTTCTCCCTCATCCTCCTCCTTCCACCTTCCACCTCCTTCCTCATCCTCCTCTTCCTCCACTGCCTCTTATTCCTTCCTCTTCCTCTACCCAGTGATTTAAAATGCGCTAGGCGCCAAGGTCTAAAAACGCCCGAGGCGCTAGGCGCTCGCCCGAGCGAAGCGAGGCGCTAAAATATAAAAATATATAATATAATTAATATAACTATTTAAATAAAAAATATACTATTAAATTAAGAAAATCGAGTACAAAATCACAATGTCATATTAATAAAAAGTCTCAAAAATCAAAACAATAAAATTTTACATCAAATCTATTGAGTTGCTCTGTACACTTGTCATTTATTCTGAAACCTAACGATAATTTAAAAAAAAAAAATAATAGTATTAAAATCAAAATAATATATTATTAGTATACAGTTAACAATATATTGTTAATATACTGTTAACAGTATAGTGAGAAAAGTGTGAGAAGACCGAGGCTACTAAGACAACGACAGTGGTAGTGAGAGCGGGAGCGGCGAGCGATAGCGGGAGTGAGAGTTGCGAGCGGTGAGCGACGACAACAACGATGAGCGACGATTGTGGCAGCGGTGAGTAGCGACAGTGGCAGCAGCAACAGAGAGCAACGACAGCGAGAAGAAATCTCGACAGCAAATCGCGAGTGTTAGGGTTGGGGAAGTCGAGAAAATCGTGTGAGGGAGCCTATCGGTGATTTAGTTGGTCCGATTGAACCAACTAAAGCACCGGAGACCGAACCAGACGTAAAACATTGGTTCGGTCGCCTGGTTTAACCCGGGCGCTCGCTCGAAGCGCCTAACGCCTAGGCTCGGGCGAGCGCCTAGGCGGCGCCTCATTGAACCAAGGCGCTTGGACATGAAGCGATGCGCTCGGGCCTCGCCTCACCTCGCCCGAGCGCCTAGGCGAGCGCCCGAGCGCCTATTGAAATCACTGCCTCCACCGCGACTTACTTACTTCCCTTTTCATTCTTCTTCCTCTTTGAGTCTTTGGTACATACCTATGTATGCGTTTTGGTACATTGGTACTGGTTGGTACGTACTATTCCTGCTAGGGAATGATACAATACCCCGATACAAGATTGTAATCCTTGATTTCTATTTATTCTTGGTATCTTAATTGGGTGAGTCTGCTAGTTGCTTGGGCCTAGGGATTCCATGAAGCCTTCGTGGGCAAAGGTCAACAAAGAGGTCCATTCTTAAGAATTTAAATACATGCACTTAATGACTAATTGAATCCATGACACTGTAAAATCATGTGTCTTAGAATTTTGAGACCTTTTACTCAGAGTTTAAAGTACTGTATTTTTTTTTTTTTGGGGGGGGGGGTGTTGGGGGGGTACCGTTTCATGGTCCAGCCAAGGCTGATTTTTGTTGGTATTTAATTTATTATTATTTTTTGTGTGGTGATATTGGGTGGTACATGTCAATATATCTCCTCGTATACTGATATCATAAGGTTCTGATCAATTTTTGAAACTTGTAATGAGTCTGTTATAAGCCCTGCTTTTACTTTCATTGACAAAAGATATTTTCTTAATGGAGTGCAACCTTCATCATTCATTGGTAACTTTTTTTACTTCATAATTGGGTTTGGCTTTTCTTTAACTTCATAAATCATAAAAAGTCTTCTATATTTTCATTTTTATCATTTTTATTTTTTCCTTTTGAAGCAAAGATAGGTAAATAATTATCAACTTATTTGATTAATGCAAAATTGAATTAGATTGCTTATGTTTAGAAAAACTGTTTTTGGAAACATTTTTTATATCTTTCAAACCATAGAGCTTCATCATGATCAAGAACTATCAAAATTCTGAAGCATTTTGCTTCAACAACATACTAAAATTGAAACTGGAACGTTAAGACCACATTTGGTATGGGGATTAGAATTCATGAGTTTTTATTGAAGTTCCTAGTGGGATTCCTAGTTCCCAGATAAATCCCCATTTGACTACTTATTTACATTCTGTTTTTGTTGTGGCAAGGGGATTTCATGCTTATTTTATGTTCATCCTGGAATTTCAAAGTCCATAGTCCAGGGATTTCCCACTTCCAAGCATACATTAGGGACCCTAGTCCTGATGCTTTGGGTGTCTGACCAGAATTTCTATGCTGCCCAATTCTTGGCTGGGATAAGTTGGATTTAGTACTAATTGAAACTTTCCTGAAACGTAAATTCGGATCATGCCTATCCATGTACCTTGAGTATAAAATTAATCTAGCAAGAAATTAGTACAATGAGGATTACCGTCATCTTAATCAAGGTCTTAAATACATGTGAGATTAGTAGTTACATTTGATGAGCTGGATCAGACCATATTTAGGTTGGCACAGATCAATATTATTATTTATTATTATTTATTCAATGATAACAGGTGGTCTAAAAGTACCATACCACTCTAATCAGTTGCCCAAATCAGTATCAGTCGAACTTAAAAACCTTGATTGCAATCATCATAGGCTATTGGATTTTCACTTATAAAGATAAAATATTTGCTACTAGGCTAATTTTGATCTTGACAAGATAAGAAAAAGTAACAAATCTGAGGTACTCATAATTCAGGATTCCCATTCCAGGCAACTTAAGGTCGGTACATGCTGAGTGCATCTCATGTTGATGAATGACCATTCAACATTTAGTCTATATTGACCATCACATGTCTGGAACAAAAACATGTTGACCAGAATTTTCATGCAAGAAAAACACCTTGTAGGTACATTCCATTTTGAACTTGGCATTAAATCGCAAGCAAATATCGTAAGATACCATCTGTGAATGCCCTTGGCACAAAAACTTGTAATGAATAAGACCCATCTCTTTATTCATTTTTGCATTGGACCAGTCCAATAACAGAATTAGTCCAATGATTAGAAAAGAATTATAGAGGTTTTAGGACTCAAACTGTGCACCCTTTTTGGTCCAAGTGGCACAAACTCTATGACCACTGCAATGCAGGAGGTCAGGTATATATACAAACACAAAAATATGCATATATAATATAATATCATTCCACTCTTCTCGCAGTCTGATATTTTTTTCTTCAACAGTCACCAGCATTGAAATATTAGAGGAATCTTGCTCTAGTGTAGTTTATCAGTAGTACACTGGTCTGTTGGAACCAATATGGATTAAGATTGCAATTCATGTTTTCCTTTCATTGGGCCTGATATAGTTTGCTAAGTTTGCAATTTTGCATTTGAAAAACTGTCAATCAGAAGCCAGACCTGGTCCATCACAAGTTCTTGCATCCCCAAAAATGATCTTAGTTCCCTTGTAGCTTTGGTAGTAAAATTAGGACATAAACACAATTATTAGTCTAATAGAACTTGATGTTTGCACTTTGCAGTATGCAGTTGGAAAATTATATAACAAGCTCATATCCATTTCTTTTTGTCAGGGAGATCAAAGGTCCCCAGGAATCATACCATTGGCTGTAAAAGATGCATTTAGCATCATACAAGAGGTTATTTGGATGGGTTCTCCATCTCTGAAATGCTTTTCAGTAAGTTCAGGAATCCTTTCTACAGAAATCATCTAATTACGTCCTTTTGGTTCTAGACTCCAAGCCGTGAGTTTCTTCTTCGTGTATCATACCTGGAAATCTACAATGAGGTCTGTTTCAGAAACTCCTGCATCTGTTGCTGGCTTATTTTTCTGCAAAATAACTTGAAGTTTATTTTCCCCTCTCTTTGTGACTCGGTGTGTTCTCTTTTTCTGTAGTTTGTTGCTGAGGATTTTTATGCTTCTGATTGCATATATATATTTAGAGCATCCAATAATTTTTCCAAAATTTGTGAGGAATACCTGATCTCTTGAAGGCATACATACTACATATATGAATCCATTTTCTGCTAGCCTCTGTACAAAACCAATTACTTGTATCAAACAGAGATCACAAATTTGCAGGAGTTTTTCCTACATTAAAATCTCTTTAATCACAACTACTTTTCATGTGCTTAAAAGTTAAAACTATATATATTCAGTAATTAGTATATAGAACATAAAGAAAGAGTCTTTCTTTTTGGAGTCTTAAATTGTGCATGGCTCTATTATTGGTGTTGGATAACTTGTAGATGCAACTACAAGAAATGAATAATTTCACTAAACAGTTTCAAAATTATGTAAGTAGATAACTGCAGACTTTTCAAAATAAGTTTATAAGTACTTGTATGAGAAGCCTACCAGTCCACCCAGAAGTTAAGGAGAAGATTTTCAATCTGACCATGTACACATGATTTACACATTTCTGTAGGTACAGGGTCATGCTTGTACTGGTATCTAAAATATATGTAACATCATGATATATTGTTTTGTTAACCTTGATGAGTTTCATGAATTCTGTGACAAACTTTCAAAATTTTAGCAATATGGCTTCATGAGCTTTGGTAAATTGTCAATTAATTGGTTTTCCTTTTCAGTAAGTATATATCATTTTACATTTTCACTTACTGAAACTTATGGATCCAGGTTGTTAATGATTTGCTAAATCCAGCAGGACAGAACTTGCGAATCAGAGAGGACTCTCAGGTACACTTTATGTATATGGTTAATTTATTTTTTTCAAGTATGGTTAATTTTACTAGTACAAGTTTGGCAGTTGTTTTGTTTTGAATGTCTATGTTGTTATTGGCAAAGCAATTGTCTTTCATGATATGTGAACTCTGAGCTGTGAGCACTTAATGTATGGGCTTAAATAAATATTTGAGCCAGTATAGTCAAAGGCGAGAGGTGCTAAAAGATGCCAAGGGGCCAAAATACCCGAGTAAAGTGAGGTGCTCCCAAATATTAAAATTTTAAAAAATATATATTATGATCAATAGTATTCATTTAAAGGATCAAATTATATTGTCTAAATCTGTATTAATAAACAAAAATAACACAGTGTTAAAGGACCAAATTATATTGTTTAAATCTATATTAATAAAATAATAAACGTAGAAGGAGGAGGATGGAGAGGGGGTTGTTGGGTATGAAGAGGGGAGCAAGGAAGAAGGATCCGAAGAGAAGGAGAGGGAGGAGGAGGTATGGAAGAGGGTTGCTGTTGGCTGAGGTGGCTGTCTGATTGTTGTCGGTTGGGTTGATGTGGGTACTTGTCAGCGGTTGGGAGGGGAAGAGGGAGGAGGGAGGGGAGCTATCAGGGAGCAGTGTGGTTTTTTTTTTGTTGTTGTTGGCGGGTTGGGTGCGAGGGGGCGTGAAGATTTTGGGAGAATCCGCCAGCACTGGGGGGAAGATGGCTGCAATGAGGCAAAGAAGAAGGGACGCTGGCGACGGGAGGATCTGCCACCTACAACAATATATTTATAACCTGAATCTGCTGTCATCTCTGTGACAGTGCTCCTTTGTGTGCTTGGTTGAGTGTGCAACTTGGGCAGACATGCAGATCTGCCACGGACTAGCTTTTCAGCCCATCGAGCTGATATAACAAATAGCACATCAAGTAGCATAGCATCCACGTGGCTTCCAAAATTTTCACAGATATGTTTTCATGGCTGATTTTCTTAGATATTTGAAGGAATAAACAGATTTTTAGTTTAATAACTATTGCATCTCCTATGAATTCTCTTATTATAATTAGATGTCCGTAGGCCTTGCAACAGGTTTCCTAAATTTGTTATAAATTGACAGTTAACAGGTCCTGTAGACTTAATGGTTACTTCTTACAGGGAACATTTGTTGAGGGTATTAAGGAGGAGGTTGTCCTATCTCCTGCACATGCACTGTCCCTTATAGCAGCTGGAGAAGGTGAACTTTACAGTTGACTTTTTTATAGGTCAACATACATATACACAATTTGTTCTTGCATACTGACTCATAGATGGTTAGCTATTTACATTTTCAACATGATGTTATCTTATATCTTTTCCTGTTCATTTCTCATTCTTATCTAGTTGTAACTTGGTTTTTTTTTTTTGGTTGGGATGACATGCCAATCAGATTTAGATGCCTATAGTGGTGTTTGATTCAGCATATAAACAAAAATAATTCTGGGATAATTATGGAAAAATAGTTTTACTAAATACATATGAAAATTCAGATTCAATTGTGGTAAAAATGTGATCTATCAGAAAATACTTTAACAGGACATATTCGGATCTGAAGAGGTTTATTGGTTATCACAACATTTTATTTTTACTAAAATCTACATTCAAAAAGTTTGACAAATATCCAAGTTAGGGTATTCAACCTATCCTCTAGATACGACAGTCAACTTTCAAAGTCAGACACTTCCGGTCAAGGTTCGTAATTTTGTACCGAGAACCCTTACTGGATAATGGCCGTGAGTCTGATTCATGCCGATGTACCAACACATGGTACGTCAGCATATACTGAGGCATTGTTCTATTGGGAGAGGGGAGGAAGAGGGAGGAATAAAGGAGGAGAATGGAGGAGAAGGAAGAAGGCAGAACAAGGAAAAGGAGGAGAAACAGAAATACTGTGGATGAGGCAGCGGCGGATGGTAGGAGGCAAGCTGTAGGAGCTGGGCTGTGGGCCACTGATTCGGGAGTAGTTTGCAGAGGGTGGGCGACAGAGTGGATTATGACTGCACTGTCATGCAAAGAGGGAGAGAGGGAAAACACATAGAAATTAGGGCTCAGGAAGAGATGAAGCAATTGCAGGTGATGGGAGGTAGGAGATTGTGGCCAACTAGAAATTAGACCATTTGAAATAAGAACTTGTTTAGTTATATCCCTGTACCAGATTAAGGTATATTACATGGAAAAAAAGTTTTTCTTACTATATGCGTGGTTGTGAAGTTACAAAGCACCGTATATATTTTCATTTTTATGCTTCTGATGCATCTTTATTATGCTAATGATGGTGACTTTTGAGTTGATTACAGAGCACAGACATGTTGGGTCCAATAACTTCAATTTACTAAGCAGCCGAAGTCATACAATTTTCACTCTGGTACTTATACTGCACTTAAATGAGCTACAGATTTCAATAATGAGTTCTAATAAATTTTTCCTAGTTCATCTTTAATGCAGACATTTTGACTTTTCATGCTTCACCAACTAATTTGTAAATATAGTGCAACATGTATCTTTTACTAAGCAGCCAGAGTCCTACAATTTTGACGCTGGTACTTATACTGCACTTAAATGAGCTATAGATTTCAATAACGAGATCTATACAAATTCTTCCTAGTTCATCTTTAATACAGACATTTTGACTTTTCATGCTTCACCAACTAATTTGTAAATATAGTGCAACATGTATATGTTAGTTACACTACAAGTGCTTATCAATTAAGAAATTCTTTAGTTCTGGAATTCCCCATATTTTCAGTTGCATCTTGTGCCTCCGACATTTAACTCTGCATTGTTGCTGCCTTGCATAGTGAAATTGTTGAAATTTGCATCTACATTTATACTTTCTGGTGTCATATTTATTAGCCTTGAATAGAAAATCATTTAGTATGCCTCTTTAAAATCATTTTTGAACCAATAATCACAGTCTCAAACAGATTAATTCAGTAATTCAAGTAATTACAGACTTATATTTTGTTACTTAAATTTATGGCTTTCCAACAGACAATAGAGAGTAGCCCTTGTGATGAGTGCGGTGAAGGTGGAGCAGTTAATTTTTCCCAGCTTGTAAGTTTATCTCACTCAGCCTTAAAATTTGTGTAGTTGCTTTCTCATCCTCTATTGCTTCATCATACAAAAGCTTCTAGCATAGACTTCTTTTTCTAACATAGATGCTGGAATTTCTTGGTCTTGCTGTATGCCTCCTTTTGTCACTAGTTCATCAATTGATGGTTTGCTTATGTAATTCTTCGTTCTTTTTCACTTGGGAATGCAGAACCTCATCGATCTCGCAGGTTCTGAGAGCTCGAGGGCTGAAACTACTGGAGTCCGTCGGAAAGAGGGAGCTTATATAAATAAAAGCCTATTGACTCTTGGAACTGTGAGACCTTAGAATAATTGCTTCATAATATTAATTTTTAATATCTGTGTGTGCTAGAATTTTTACATTTCTATTTTTCAGTTCTCTTCTTTTGATGGCCATGAATGTGTATCACTGACATCAGTAATCTTTTTCTCTCCTGTTGTGAATTAGTCATGTAGTAAATGCATTCATCATAGATAACACTGAGCTTCATGATTGGAGCAGGCCAAGGAACATGAATATGAATAGTGGTCCATATCGACTAAGGTATCTGTATTACTGACATTTTAAACAATCTTTTATAATTCTCGGTAGTACCAAGGTGTATTGGTCCAACTAGGTTCTGGTAAGGTATTTGATTTCTTGCTAAGGAAACCTGATCTACATAGTTTTATCACTATTGGAATAAATGAATGAAACTAATTTATCCAGGGGCATATATGTTTGTGATTTCATCAATGGCAAAAAGCATACTTGTTAACTTCATGCAAGGACCTTTGGTGAAACTAGCTGATTGAACAAAAAATAGGAAGTCATCCCCAAGATAGATTTTTTCTTGCCATTATGTTTTCTTTAGGCTATGTTACTATTTTATTCAAGATCCATCAATCCAATCCTTTTGTTGACCTGGTCATATATGGTCTTCGTTTCCTAAAACTTTCATAAAGGATTTTCCTTTTTCTCTTGTTCTACTGATTCTTCTCCTTTTTTTCGCAAAAGGAAAACTCTGTTAGTCTGTGTATGGTAATATTGCTGCCATGCTACAAAAAAGGAATGATGGATGTGCCTTATATGTTGAAAAAAACTAGATAGTTTGTGTCGGTTGGATTGATGTCTAGGGAGAACAATTGTTTGTCTAGTTTCTATAGAGTTCCGAGATTTAAATTATATTGAGGCAATAGTCTAGATTTTTTGACACTAATTTAACAGTTTCTTTTGTCGATCCCACCAAACTATATTTTCATTTTTTTTTCCTTTTTTATGTCATCTTTGTGGTGTGTTGGGATCATATGAAGAAACAGTTGCTAATGCCCAATTATGTAGTTGAGGCATTTATGCAAAACTTGTCACTTTATGTTTTCTTATGCCATACAACCTCCAACCTCTCGTTGCTATTCTCTCTTCTGGGTATTATTAGGATTTGTGAGAAGGGACAGCAACTTTTCTTAGTTACACTTTTCTTGGGGAAGAATAACTTTGATTTCCCTTTCTATTTTCCATCACTATGGTGATCTATCCTTATCTTCTCTATTCTCTCCACTATTATTATCTCTTTTAGCTGATATTATCTTGCTTAATCATTGTCATTCTCTCTTCCTTCTCTGCTTCCTGATTTTGAAATTCTACTGATTTATGTGAAACAATTGTCTTTACATTATCTTTCAAGTTGAGACACATTTTTCAGTGACAGTGAAAGGCCTTCTTTCTATTATGATTTAACATCTCTTTGAGATCAAGGTACCCTTTTTGACTACTATTGGTCCTAGGTTTTCTCATATATATCAAAGCGAAGGTCTATACTTTTTTCTGGTCAGTATTCTATTTTTTTGTTTTTTATCTTTGATTTTTTTCCTTCTGTCAATTTGTTCTTTTATGCAGCTGAGAAGTGAAAATTTTCTACTGCATGGCTTATTAAGACAATCTATTTAAAAAAATTATTAGAAGTTAAAGACCTTAGAAAAGGGAACAACTGCTTAGATAGAAGGATCTTGTGCAAAGGCAGGTTAAGACAAGAATGGTGAGGAGTAATGATGAGATTCAGTATCCTATACATGGATCGAGTGGAGTTTCAAACATTTGAGAACATGATGACCTTCATAAAATGATTTATAACACTTTGGGTGTATCAAAGGGATTGGGACGATCATATTTGCAAGAAAGGGTAGGTGTGCAAGGAAAAGCAAATCTTAGTCTCTTCCTAAAAGATACTGCCATTTTAAGTCACACATGACACAAGAACTTCTTGACCTTACAAGTTTGATGACCATAATTTTCTTCCTGGATGGGTTTTAAAATTTATGACAAAAAATTTGAAAGGAACTCTCCACATGCATTTCTGAAGTTAAGGAATGATTGGGCTTAAAGACTAATATATAGGAGGCAATGAAGCATTTCATGCAACCAAATGATTTCCCCCTAAATATAATTGGGTTTCAAAGTGATATTCAGCAGTAGATGAACAATTCGGTTGAAGCCTATGAAATAATATCTAAGAGGTAACTGTAGAACCAAAATTGTTCATTTTGAGGCCTTCTTACAGAATTAGGGCACCGCAGGAAATTCAAGTTAGCATGTTGGACTTTATTTTTGACTTTTAGATTTGCATCATGATGATGTGAATTTGAGGCTTAGTACCCTTGTCAGACTGATGGTAGGTGGATGATTTTAAATTCTTCATTCTTAGGCCTTGTTTAGTTATCACCAGTTGAATAACAAGGATGTGATTGCAATACTTTACATGCCTTCTGTTTGTAATATGAGATATTTTGCTAGAGTTTACTAAGAAAGATGCAAATCACTGTTGATATAGGAAGACATCAGAACAAAGATGGTTGTGTTGATTATGGAAGACCTAAAACCATTAGATATAAGAGGAAGTCGATATGCTGTTGTATTTGATATAAGGTTGCACTCCTATGTTGGATGGGCTAAAAAGATGAGTGCTAGTATAAGCTGGATGCTCCAGCTATAAATAAGTTATTGTACTCTTGAGGTAACTGGGAGGAGACAGATCAACCCAATGTCCTATGGTCTTGTTAATCGTGTACTTCCACAAATATGTCATAGGCCTTAAGGAGATTATAGATTCAGAGGATAAGTTGATAGTTATCACCACTTCTTTTCTGTGTTAGATGTGGGTAGGTGATATATCTATCAATGTTCCCAATATTATGCCAGGGTAATCTCTAATTATATCAACATTATATGACAAATTCCTAGGCTAATCAGGATACATGGATAGCAACATCATCTGCTAACACTAAATGTTAGTACATGGACAGAGCAGTTTAAAGTTGAGAGCTAAATGTTTTATTAAGGAAAATCCTTGGTAAATGATTTTAAAAGAATTCTTAGATTCTTTGTGTGATGCTAGCAAATGTCTCCAATCATCACTCATGAACAAGCCATATGTTGAGAAAGCAATCTATCTGACATGATGACACAGGTCACCAAAATCTTCCAAGGGCAGTAATTTGATGATGAATCTTGCAGAGATAGGTATCCTATGATTCAACCTAGGAGTTTCATTTTATATGGTTGTCACTTGTCCTTGTCTATACTTGGTTTGATTTCATTTATTTATAATGAAATGCTAAGATAAAAAAGGTGGAGGTAATAATCATGTGCGCATAAACATAATTGCACCAACATGGTAAAATTACTTGTCTTTGGGTTGCATCATGTTCACTTTATACCAAGGTTTGCAATACCGAATGATACCGCCCGGTACTGAGCGGTATCGTCGATTGAGGCCATTATCGTCGACGGTGACCGAGGGAGAAGAAAGAGAGAGTCGACGGTGATTGAGGGAGAAGAAAGAGGGAGAAGGTGAAAGAAGAGGCAGAAGGGGAAGAAAGAAATAGGGCAAACCTCTATTCAACCCGCTAAGTTACCCTTTATTCTTCATATCGATCTAGTTTTAGTTGAAATTTTACTAGTTCTTTCATCATAGTTGTGTTTTACATGATAGTTTATAAACATGAATTGAATTGGAATCATTAATTCAGCATGACCTACTAAACTCTATGATAAAAAGGGTGTACCCAGTGCACGAGGCTCCCGTCAATGTGGGGTCTGGGGTGGGTTAATATATGCAGTCTTACTTTTAAATATTTTAAAAAGGTTGTTTCTGTGACTTGAACCCTGGTCCCTCAGGTGGCAAAGGAGCAATCTTACTATTGTACCAAGGCCTGTCCTCTATGATATATTGTAAAATTCTTTGTTACATCGTGTTATCAATGTTGGACAAATTCACTTTTTATTTTTCAAGATCTTCCAGTAAAATTACTGAACCACTACCTTTTTCAGGTAATTGCAAAATTAACTGATGGGAAAGCTACACATATCCCCTACAGAGATTCCAAATTAACTCGACTCCTCCAATCTTCTTTAAGTGGTCAAGGGCGTGTTTCCGTAAGTTGATGTTACTGTACAAGTTTTTCTAAGATCAGTAACTTAATGGACCAGTTCTGAATTTATTTGTCCTGTTATTTAGCTCATCTGTACAGTGACTCCATCATCAAGCAATGCAGAAGAGACACATAATACACTGAAGTTTGCTCATCGTGCTAAATGCATTGAGATCCAAGCTTCACAAAATAAGGTATGTTTTCATCTGACCCAAGTAGATGCTTGATAATTTAAGAATAATTTTCATCATCTTCATAAGAGCGGACTTAATAATCTATCAAATATTGTACCTTGTGTGCCTAACCTTACAGTTCATTCACATTTTGATTGCTTTCATCTATATCCTTGCCTTATGGTTCTGCTTATTGATGCAGATAATAGATGAAAAGTCTCTAATAAAGAAGTACCAAAATGAGATCCGTTGCTTAAAGCAAGAGCTAGAACAGTTAAAGAGAGGCATTGTGACAGTTGTTCCACAAAAGGATTCTGGAGAAAATGACATTTTTCTTCTAAAACAAAAGGTAGGTCATCATTGCATACTTTTGCACCACATGTAAGGTAATTTCCCCTTTGCTTATAAAGTAACATCTGAACTTGATGAACCTGTTCATTTTGAGACATTACATGATGTTCAGTGCATACATTTTGTTGTTTCTATACTTACCTGCTACACAAATGACACTTCATGATTTCACATCATAGTTTGCAACAAGATATTAAGTCTCTGTCAGGTATCAATTTTGGTACTGTTTCGGGGTCATTATGGCACCAATTTCGATTGTCACTGCACTGGTATGCTACCAGAGTACCAGCTAGTATGGCCCCAATTTCATACTATTTTTTAAGTCTGGACTTTTACCACTAATGCATTAGCATATTTTATTTGACTGCCTACATGGGATTAAAGTTCCAATAATTTTTTAGAATACTTGTAAAAGTTAAAGTTCTTTAGTGTTCATTGCCAATTTGATTAGTGCAAACGTTTAACATGAAAAGCTAGAAGATGGTCATGTCAAGTTACAGTCGAGGCTGGAACAAGAAGAAGAAGCTAAAGCTGCTTTACTGGGAAGGATACAACGTTTAACAAAATTAATTCTGGTCTCTACAAAGGCAAACCAATCTCCAAGATTTCCTCAACGTGCTGGTCCAAGGCGAAGACATTCTTTTGGAGAGGAGGAGGTTCGGTTTTAATTTGTCCACATGAATTCTTGAATAGATAATCTACTATCAACTTCTTATTATTCTGTTCCAAATATCCACTGATACCCTATTACCTTTTTCCACTGGTCCTATTATGTCCTAATTTAGGCAATTATGTGATCCTGCAGCTTGCTTATCTCCCGTATCGAAGGCGAGATATGATATTAGATAATGAAAATGGTGTCTTTTATGCTCCCATGGAAGGATTTGGTGAAACTAATGATGATGCTTCAAAGGAAGAGAAAAAGAACAGAAAACATGGACTCCTAAACTGGTTCAAGATACGGGTATGCCTTGCTGTGTAGATGCTTCTTGCTATGAACTTTTCAGTTGTGTTCCTTGCAGAACAGAATTTATATAAATTTTCAGTACATGATATTCTTTACCATCAGGTAGTGGACTTCACACACATTTTAATGATGTCATACTATACGGTAAGCAATAGAACAATCAATTTGTATCAGGAACAGAAGCAATATGATAATGATGAAAAAGTATATCAGCAGACATTCACGATGATAAAGGGTGAATGACATATAGTTAGAGCACATTCATGGCCTTATCACATAGGTTTGTGTCACAAGAGACATTTGGTTGTAGATGTCTAAATACTCCATTTTTAGCAGTTACGGCTAGTTGAAATTGATAGTAGGCTGATGTTATATTACTATTATTCTATCTTTCACTGCATGCTTGATTGAATTTTTTTCTTCCAGAAACGAGATAGCGGGTTGACAACATTGATGAGTTCAGATGGTGACAAATCAAGTAGAACAAAGTCATACACTGCACCTTCAACTCCTCATGCAGAGAGTGTAAACTTCCCTTCAGAGCCCAGAATATCAAATTCCTTGGTTTCAGACAGAATTCCTGCTGATTTGTTGGAAGTGATGCATGACAGGGAACTTCCTGCAGTTGATTTTTCTTCCCAAGAGACACCTCTGGTATGCAATGAACAAAATTATCTGAAATCATAAATTTTCATACGGGTATTATAAATTCTATCTACTTCAATTCTTCAGATGATTTGAAATAACAAGCTTGCCAAAATGGCCTATATGATCTTAGGATACATCATGAATGAACATGGATAGACTTGTCATGATAATGACCTAGCTTGTTTTTAGCTGTATCACTTTCAACAACCACTACTATCTTCATAAATTCTATAAAATATTATCACTGACAGTTGACCAACAGTGGCAAAGTCAAGCACTAGTGCAGTTATTTGCCAAAGTATCGCATTTCTCATAAACCTCATCCCTGCTTTTATCATTGCCGAGGTTCTTACTTAGAGGAACAGAAAATGGAGACAGAGAAGCGTCATTTAATAAAAATTTAAACAATTAAGAAAACTAGGAATTACTAGCTTGGATATTAGAATGTGTCTGTTTCTAGAAAATTATACTGAAAATATGTTATACCAACATCAATTATTTTGTCGCCCATATAGGTACAGTTTATAGATTTTTTATATTCACTGATCCATTTGTCTTCAGTTAATATCATGTAAGGATAGTAAGTTGGTGTTTGTGGCAATTATTGAACCACAAATTACATCAAGGCCACTCATCAGCCATCTGTGCATCATATAATCAGGCAAGCTTCTTTAGGTCATGGTAAATGTGTTAGTCTGATAATGCTCAACAGGGTTAGATCGTTTATGTACCAGAGAGTTAGCAGTCTGACCATGCACTGATGAGGACCAGACCACTCATTACCACTTGGTTTTTATTATGTTCTTCAGGTATTCACAACTAGCACAAATCAGTATACCACTTGGTATCTTGGTACTGTACTAGTCCAATAAGTTGTTGATACTGGTATCAAATCAATATATGTAACTTTGTCCAGTGCTATGATAATGACCAAAATACTTATTGCCATAGATTGAAGATTGAAAAGGAATTCCTACACTGAATTTACAGAGTGTTATTGCTGGATAGCATGAGCAAATTTATTAACAAACTTTTGTAACTGAATTAGATTGGAGTAAGAACAAGAAAAATTGACAGTAACTTACAAAGTAGCATGATCATGTTTGTTTTTGTGCCTACTTGAAAATTTGTGATTGAATTTCATTTCTATTTAGTTTAACAATCAAAGTAGGAACTGAATAACTATCTCAGAAAGAAAAGGAGCAACTTTATCAGATTTATGGTAACATGAATGTCCTGTGGCTTACCCGACGAAGAAACTAAGAATAAATAAAAAGCCATATGATGCTTGTTTTTAATTTTCTTTTAGAATATGTAGGTTGGTTTCATTGTTTAAACAATAGCAGTAGCTTACCTACAAAAACTTTATTTGTCATTAGGAAGTAATTAGTGGAAGTTCACTATCTTCATGTAGAAATAAATTTAATACAATTTCTTTAGTTGGAAATTTTGTGCCATTATATGCTTCCTGTCTGTTTTTATGTTCATGAAAAAATGGTTCTACATTTCAGAAATCTGTTAACTTTCACGCTTTATCTGATATCAGACTAGCATCAAAACTACAGACCATGTTGAATTGCTTAAAGAGCAATTAAAGATTCTTGCTGGAGAAGTAGCACTTAATTCAAGTGTTTTAAAGCGACTTTCAGATGAAGCTGCTAAGAACCCAAAGAATGAACAGATTCAAGTAATTCCTTATCTCTTTTATTTCCTTCAACAAAATTATGTGATGTGTCTAGACCTTATGTGATGATTCTTGAACCTGAAGATGGAGATGAGGAAGGTCAGTGAAGAGATAAAAGCCAAAAACCAGCAAATTGCTTCTTTGGAAAAGCAAATGGCCAAAACAGTTTCATTGACTCAAAACAGAATGGGCAACTCGGGGATTTCACCAGTAAAATTTTGCTTCATGACCTTTCTTTACTGTTTTTTCTTGATTCCACCTAATAGTATTTGATGGTTACTTTTCCTTTTACAGTCATATGCTGAACTACTAGAACAACTGAATGAGAAATCTCTTGAGCTAGAGGTACTCATTTATTTTCATGTTCATGTAGATTAGCATTTAATTGCATCTTTTGATACCTTGTGTGCAATACTTTTAAATTGATGGTTCTTGTTTTTCTGAAGTTCTGCTTTATCAGTCAATTTTGTCAGTTAAACGTGACATCTATGAAGTACTTTTTAAATGTATATATCTCAGTGCATTGTATGAATTTGAGCTTACATAGTAGCAACTCATTTTCAGGTGAAGACTGCAGATAACAGTATAATACAGGATCAGCTGCAACAAAAGGCAAGTTGTAACACAGAGTTACAAGTTTTCGTTGTTGCTTCAGTTTCTGTGCTGACTACATATAGATTGTAACACTAAAATCTCTCTCTTTACCAGATATTTGAATGTGAAGAAATGCAAGAAACAATTACTTCCTTGAAGCAACAACTTGCACAATCTCTCGAAATGAAGGATTCCTCAACGAGGGTCAAATCAGAGTATTTATTTGAAGAAACAAGCATTACAGAATCAACACCGTCAAGAGATATTTCTGCAGAGTTGCTACCTCATGCGAATTTGGTTAGTACTGTTTATTGCTTATTCAATTGCATTTTTCTAAATGCTCATAGTCCTCGAGCACCCACTGTGCTATAATTTTTGCTTCATGAAACCATTAGAAAAAGGTCATTTGTATTAAAAATATATACAAAGAGAAAGAAAAAGACTAGAGAGAGAGTTAAGCTCAAATACTCTTAAGAAAATGGAGGCATCAATCTTATCACCTCAAAATTGATAATGGAGACTGCAAATCAAAGATATGCTTCACTAAATATAAGCTATAATGTGTAAAAGTCAAGTAATGAAAAGTCTTTTTTTTTTTAAATTTCTAACAACTGAATAAAGTAGACGAAAACCGAAATTCTTTTAATACTGTAATGTATATACTTCTTTTATTTGATCAACAATAAAAAAGTATCAAAGAAATCTAAACATTTAACAATATTTGGATCCGAAACAATCAGTCCAATCTTGAACTAAAGTAGTTTAGACTGAAAAACTGGTTGAAAACTCTAGTTTGAAACTTGCACACTAATGTTTACATATTGATATTAGATATAAAACATCAGCTGATCCAATTATTGTCATTTTGCAAGTATTTTTCCTGGCATCTAGATAGCTGTTTTTATGGCTATAACCAAGTTTTTATATTTTTTATTACGATGCTTTCATTGTGTTTTGCTTCTATATTTATTTACTTTATCTTGTGCATTTTCTTTTCCTGACGCACTGAGTATAAAAAATCTTCATTATTTCATGTTCAACACTCTTTGTTGAAGGAATCCTTGGCAGTCTGTTCCTGATTGCATGAACCAATCATTGGAGGCTTCACACACCTTCTCCAGGGTTCCTAAATCAAAGATCAATTATCACATTGAAGTTTGTGATCAATTTTTGATACCTAAATAATCATCAGCATCTTCAACGAACCCTCTTTTATGTAGGAAGATAATCGACAATTTTTTTAATATTCAAATAGCATATGGTCATGTGACATATGCTTCAAGTTTTTGCTTGTCACCAGATAATTCATCCGAGTGTGAAAGAATACAATTTTTGACATGCCCACTTCGACATAGTGTTTTATTTCTGTTCAGTTATATCTTGTGACAATTACAATATCAAAGTTCCTCTAGTCTAATTTTTTGGTGCAAATATGAGAGTTCAACATAATTATCATTTCTGCCACAAAAAGTAGGTACATTTTTGTTCATGATGCATCCCTACACAACATAATTTGCTACACATCACTCTTCTTTTTTCGTTCTGAATAGAGTCAAGCACCTTGTAAATTTTTGTTGTCTTCATTTAATACCTTAGGTATCCGAAGTTGAAGAACTAAAACGGAAAGTATCTGAATTAAGCGAAGCAAAAAGCCAACTAGAAGCCCGAAATCAGAAGTTGGTGGAGGAAAGTGCATATGCGAAAGGGTTGGCTTCGGCTGCAGGTGTAGAGTTGAAGGCACTATCAGAGGAAGTCACAAAACTCATGAACCACAACGAGAGGCTGGCTGCTGAATTGGCCTCCATGAAAAACTCTGCTCAGCGGAGAGCGAGCAGTGGACCAAAGAATACCAGACGAGACAGCCACATAAAACGGCACGAGCCAACTGTCAAGAAAGAAGTGACTTCCAGCAATGAAAGAGAGCTACAAGCTGCACTTGTAGAAAAGGAACAAAGAGAAGCGGAGCTTCAGAAGAAAGTGGAGGAATCAAAACAAAGGGAGGCCTTCCTGGAGAATGAACTGGCAAACATGTGGATTCTGGTGGCAAAGTTGAAGAACTCTCGAGGAACTGAACCTGAAGTTTTAGATTCCAATCCATGATAAGAGACAGACATAAATGCGGGATGTGATAATTGTTCGGTGTTCCGTAGGCCCATAACCTGTGTGTTGTGTAAAGAAATCATTGTAAATTAAGCTTTGTTTGCAATGTGAATTCAGGTTTTGTCAATTGTTGCCATAAATTTACAGTTTGAAATTAGTTTCTGGCCACAAAAGAAAGGTACGTATTGACTTCATAAAGGTTTTCATTTTTGTGCACAGTAATGAGATGTTATTGGAAAATATGTAAAGATAACAGATGACAGTGAAGCTGAAACCATCCAACATTTCACTCCACTTGATGGGGGGATATATGTCTACCACCAAAGAGTATCCATGAATGGAAAGGAGAGGAGAATTATCTAAAGGAAATGACATCATCTATATGTGAAAGAATTAGTTAAAAAGTATTAAGATAAAATAAGAGATGAAAAAATAATTAGCTACAAAAATCATATCACATATAAGATTGTATATCATCATATGACTCAGTTAAAAATTCTCAATCTTAAGTAAATGATATAAGATCGTATATCATCAACAGATCAGATCAATATAAGGTTCTGAATCTTTCATCTTGGATTGGTGATGGACTGGCACATCACCACTAGATAAAATTAATATAATATATGTCATGAAAGTAGCCCTACAATCTAATGCTCCACCATCAAGGGAGAAGTTGAAGGCCCATTTGATGGATTCCGAGTCACACAAAAACACAGAATGGTGTTGCTTGCGTAGAAGTGCTTTATTCCCACCTTAAATACTACTAGTGGGCGCTACGTTAGCCCGACTTCAAATCTGAGCTTGGCCGGACCGGACCGGACCGGACCGGGTTGGGCACAGTTTTACCTTCAAAAGCGGTGGAGGACCAGGATAACATTATGCGAGGATTTATGATATGCTCGCTTCCCACCCGATTCGGTCCACGAAATCGACCGATGGTTCGAAACCCTAGCGAATCGAGGACGGCAGCGAAGGAAACTCGTTGATTCCTCTCATCTCTCATCGCGTCGTTCGCCTCGACGAGATATCTTTTATTGATCTGTTCGAGGTGTTCTTTTGTAATCTTAATTCATTGTCAATCGTCGCCTCGCATAATTGATTCTTGTTCCTGGTCGAACTCTTGATCTCGTCTATGCTTTAATTGTTGCTTGTGTGCTTTGGATTTGGTATTCGTGTTTCCTTTTGCAGTTGATTTTAGGGTAAGATTGAGCGAGAATCTTCGTCTAGACTGCCATCTATCTGTTCTAGGGTTGGATTTTATTATTTCTATCGTTGAGATGCAACTCTGAAATAGAAAGTTTTTTTCCAACTTTTGTCTGTTGTAGGCATTAGTTTCCGTCCGCATGACTCGGTGATCGTTGATCAGGCTAGGAAATGAGATTTAAGGGATCTCTTGGTGCAGATAAAAGACTTTTCAGGTTTTATTAAATTAAGCCTTCGTTTTAGAGAACATTAGTGCTTAAGGTTTTTCTTTTTCAGAATAAAGGGAAGTGTTCTTGCGGGTTTAGATGATTGTGGACTTCTGTTGGTCACTGGATTGATTAGGTAAGACACAATTGTTAACAAAACCCTTAGTGACTACTTTTTCCTAGCTTAATAGTGATTTTTAGAAGAAAGACGACAACTGAGTTAAAAAAAATGCGGGCATTCATCTTTCTGACTCATTCAACTATTTTACTTGGTCTTGGAAGTGCACCTCGGAACTGTGCTTGTCTGTTGTAAATATATTTACAAATAACTTTTGTCTAGTGGCTAACTGACCTAAACAGGTTCATATGGAGCATCTCAAAGCAAGCTGAGAATGATCAAAAGTTGGTGGATCATAAAATTTATAACATGAAAACTCAAAATTTCTTCTTTGCATGGATCATTATGTAGAGATTAGCTTGCATAATCTGTCATACCTACGTGATAGATCTTCTTTACTTTTGAACATGTTGCATGTACTTCTTCTTGATCTTTTCTTTTACCCTTGTTGTCTCTGGTTTTGAAGTCTTTGATCTTCTAACCTGACTGTCAGATGATTAAAATATTTTGAAAACATGTAGGTACTAGTTTGATGGAGCCTTCGTTGCTTGCATCCTCCCCTGATAAATCAGATCTGAAGCCATCATTTAGAAAACCCACAAGTGATGCTGCTAGTAGGAAGTATCGACGCCATTCACCTGTTGGTAGATCGGGTTCATCTTCATCTGGTGGTTAGCAATCTGACTCTATCGATTGGTTGTGAACTTTTGTTTCATGCAAATGCTATCAGCTATGAGACATGTCTTCCACATTTGATGCTTTAGTTTCATTAAATTTTGACTTTGTGGTTTTTGTTAGTAAGGGGTTCAGTAACGTGGATGAACTGTTACTGATTGGTTAAAGGGGATGGATATTTATAGTTGGAACAAGCTTCCATTGGTAGTCCAATTGTCTTCCCATTTCATTAGAGTAGTATCTCAATGTAAGTAGTATATGGTAATTAATCATCTGTTTCCTGATCCTGATTCATGAGTAGGCACCTGACTTGTATGTAAATGATTGAGTACATTTTTCCTCCAAATCTGTAAATTCTTATAAATATTTGGTATATGTCAATGTTAAATAGGATGATTTATTGTTTTTTTTTGTTTTGAGAAAGATATTCTGTGATATCTTTTTTTCATATTTTGTGACCCCTCAAGTTATTACATGCCCTTTATAGTCCTAATCAAAATAGATTAGCTATGTTAGAGTGTAGAAACCCATGGCTTGGACCATGGTTTGACATATTGCTCGAAATGGTATGGTATGAGCAAGATGTACCAATCTGATAGCTAACTAGGTCCGACCACGGGGGCATATTGGGCGATGCACCCCCGTACTGATCAAAACCATTGAAATTTGATCGTTACTAACCTGTACCGGTTGGTAATGGGCAGATTTCAATTGAAATCAATCAAGGGCCCAGATTGAATTGATTCTAATGGTCAATTGGACCCATTTGAATGCATATTTAACTCATCAATGTCCAAAAAAGATAAATCCCTTAGCCCTTCCTTATTTGGATATTTCTTATTGAAATAGAACTAAGTTTGCATTTAGTTCTAACTTAAATGCCCTAATTTAGGGTTTTCCTAATTTTCAGGTAGTTTCAAATATTTTCTAGCCATTTTTTGGAATTTTCGGCGCATTTATGCTGGTGTAGACTGGTACATACCTGACCAGCCAAAGACTGGCACAGACAATTGACACAAAATTGCAGTCCTTGGCTTTGACTACCATGATTTGATCTATTTTCTTCAAACTTATGCTAACAAGATTGGAGTTGGGTCTAGTCATAGACTCCCCTCTCAACCTTGTTTTCCACTTCAACCATATAAAGAAACCCCAATTCTCACCCTCATGGACGTAACATCTCTCTTTGTTGAGTCTAGAGACATAAGTTGACCCCAACAGTACCGGTATCATGCTAGTCCACCCAAGGATCAGTATTAAGTTTCAAACTGAAACTTTAAGCCTTGATTCAAATGAAGGAGATCAATGATACAGACAAAATTCATATATATACTAAAGAGTTGTCATAATTGTTACCTTTCTTTAGCACAAACAGCTTGGCTCAGGTTATGATGTGATGCTTTGTCCAGTTTAAATCTTTCATCGCATAGTGGCCCAGTGTTTTTTGATCTCTACCAGTGTCTACTTAGCGCTATTCTTATGTAACTATGCTGGATTGGTATTATGCTTATCAGTATGGCATTCTTATTATACACTAGTTTTATCCTCTCCCTATTTCCTGTATTCATGTTATTTGGAAGTGTCACTAGTCTGCACAATATGCTGAATACTTTCTAGACAACATCAGTTGTATGATAAATACATATATCATCAGCTAAGTATTTGTGATGCTTCTATTCTACATACAAGATCAACCTGGTCGAACAGAACAGAGGAGTACCCACCAACTTTGTTTGTGAGATAAATTTATGTTCTTGTTGTGTTTCATGTTATTGTTGCATCTAGTTGAGAAGGATATTGCATCAGACTACCATTGTACATGCACTTGACTTGTTATTGTGAATTTGGATTGCCACCCTGCATGAGTATTCCCCTCTATATTTGGGCATTTGATGAATATTTTGGTATGGGTTTTTTTTATAGCCAAGGATTTGTCTTTTTATGGCATGGGTGTGTTGAATACCTTAGTGCATGGAGTGATTCTTTGTTATGCTGGTGGGTATGCTTCTATATCAGCCAGCATGAGCCAAAAATTGACCTATTAACTTGTGGGCTTCTCCAACAAAGGTCGGCATGATCATGAATTTTTTCAACTATCCCAAAATATGCTGGTCAGCATGCAATCCCTATATTGCTATGTATTTCTTGACATATTTTGCCTTGAGATCCACGTCATTAGCATGCTTCTAGTAAAATGCTTGCTTTGTATATGGTGAAAATTTTGTTTCGGTGAGGCTATTCTTTTTCTTTCTTTTTTAAGTTCCCACTTTAACCTAGGCTGTAAGCTTCAGAGGTTATCCACTTCCTTTTTCTTGCTCTAGATATAAAGAGATTCTTTAAGAAAAAGTAATTTTTTGTTTCAAGAATTTAATTTGCATTGTCAAAACATGATAGTAATCCATAATTTGCACTTTTGAGGCTTGCTTTGTCTTTTTTTCTTTGTGGAAATGCTTAATATTGACTTCCCATATTCGTTTCATAAACCATTCACATTTGAATTGGTGTCTTCTTTGTCGCTGATAGGCAGTCCTAGACGTGAGCGGAGCTACAGCCCTCTCCCTCCAAAGGAAGGTCGTGTTAGGACATCTGCTGATCAACACAGAAAGGATGCTGGAAGAGGCTCAGAAAGGGATTCTACTCGTAACAGGTCCAGTAGAGCCCACGATTCTCAGAAGCATTCTGAGAGGCATCTGTATGGGAACTCCCAAGACTACAGGAGGCATGATGATTATAGCAGGCATAACAGGCATGCTGATGAAGATATTAGGAATTATCAGCGGTCATCTAGGTCTGGTCGAGAATTAAGGAATGACAGCCGTTCTGACTATACAAAAGGTGAAAGAATATCTGACAGGTACAGAGATACTTGGCATCACTCTAAAGATAAAGGTGAGATATCGGAGCATAAGAACAAGAATAAGGGAAGAGAACCTGATATTGGAAATAACAAAGGAGACTTGACCAGAGATCATGATAAAATTTCAGAGCA